AATAATTAATTTTTAATCATCAACTTTAAACTAATTATAAATTTAAAGTCATATAAAAATATAAAAAAAATGAAGTGAGAATGATAAAAAAAATAAATAATGTCTATTTTAGTTATTTTAATATTAAAAAATATTTTATAAAAAAATTTATCAAATAACTTTTCACTCCACAAATACTTTTATAAAAAATTTTACCAAACATTTTTAACTTTTCAAAAATAGCTCTTCCACAACATATTTCTCTAATAAGACTTCTATTAAAAATTTCCAACCACACCAAACGGACCCTTAAACAAGGCACTGAAGCAGCATTTTTCTTAAGATAAAAAACGACTATAAAACACAAGGAATGAATTAGTAAATCACAATTACTTACCTTTTCAAGTTGCTATTTTTGTTGGTAAGGAATATAGATCCATAAATTTTTTTATCAATAGAAAAAATATATATTTTATTGAGAAAGTACACGGATACCATAATAACTTTTAATATATATACTCCAACTCATTTAGTCATAATCGATTCTTAATATCTTTAATATTCATTTAACAACTGTTATCGTAATAATACAATTTTCCTAAGATTAAAAGGATAGGGACTTTTAAATTTTATCACCCTACAAAAAAAACAAACTAACAGTATAGCATTCATCTTGACATACTCTCTAATTATCGGCATTAAACTAATCATATAATTGAAAAAAATCTCAAAATTTTCTTTTATTTATTTAATAAATATTGATTTTTATATTTTAAAAATTAATTAACATAAAAATATAATAATTACACCCTTAATTAATATTTTAAGGACATAAATTAAAAAAATTCTTTCCATTAATAAAATCTCTTGATTTACTTTAAACAAGGTTAAACCCCCATTTTGGTCCCTCAACTATTGTACAGACTATTAATTGAGTCCCCCAACTCAAAAATCCCTAATTCTATCCCTATTGTTTTCCATTTTGGCCCCAACTTAATCTTTCCGTTAAAAATTTGCCTACGTGTCCCTTTTAACTCACGGGAGCTTGATGACATGTTAAAATATTGCGACACATCTACTTAACAACATGGATAAATAAATGATGTATCAAAATATAATTATCTAATTCATTTTAAATTACAATTTTACCCTCATCTTCTTCCTCCAAATCCTTTTTCTCAAATCTTCTTCATTTTTTTTCTCTCTCTTTGCCTCCTCCAAATCCACTTTCATCACCATTTTTCTGAATCAAACAATCAATTCATCAATATTTTTCCTCCAAGTCCACTTTCATCACCACTTGTTCAAACCCACAAAAGAACACAACAACTACTGGGTTCGAAATCGAACACCCATTTTTAGCTTTCTTTGTTTTTCCTTTTTCCCTTTCTTCCTCCTTTTCCTTTCCTTTCACGTTCTACAAACCCATACATCTTCTAACATCAAATCTAAGTATAACACAAACATAAACCTAGAATCTTCCCAACATGGTCACTAGCCTTCTCAACCTTCCAAAAAACCTAGAAAAATCAAGGTATCTTCTCCCAAATTTCTACAAAACCCAAACTAAAGTACCTAAAACAAAGACCAAAAATCAACAGTAAGAAGAACAAAAACCCAAACCAATCAAAATCCAACAAATTTTCTGGGTTCTCGAATGTAGCAAAAGAGCAAAGGAAAGAGGAAAGAGAAA